GTTTTGTCATCATCAGGTCGAAACGTTGTACATTTGCTGTCATGTTAAACTTATATTAAAGTTTTTTTTTTTTCATTACCCATTTAAGCCGTCTCCAGCCATTATTAGTCTCAAAGTGGGTTCCTCGTCATCGAATTTGAACTATTCTATTACTAATGGTATTATAAAATTCACTAGAATTTGGTAAGCAACCTCATGTGAAGACATCATTCCAGAAATTAAATAAGGGCCAAAGAGAAATGGGGTTCAAGCAGTATCCTTATGTTATGCTGGCCAATTAGCAAAAGTAAAATCAAACTGCAACAAAACTGTCCCTCTCAAACTAAATATTGCAATTATTTTTTTTTGGATGTTTCAAAGACAAAACAGATTTTGATTATGTCTCTTAAGCATGTAAGTTCATAGCAGCTTCCTCCAATTTCAAATGTTTACTGCAATTTATGCAAAGAAAAAGGGACACTGAATATATATATACACATGTACATATACAGTTTTTATATAACATAATCACAAAACTTAATATTATGACATGTAATTAAACATGTACAGTAATAATCAACACAAAAGCTTATATTTTAACAATTGTGAACTATATGTTATATTTATTAGAAGTGATGCAGTTTATCATCATATTGTCATGGCCTTATTTATACTGAGGCATGATGAGGCAACAACCTCGTAATTCTTAGCAGCTCGTTACAGCTAGCCCAACTTAAAAAAAAAGATAAATATAAAGCTAAGGAAAATATTGTTCATTTGAGGATTCTGGGAAATAGCCTAGTCCTTCTTTGCAGTTTCAATTGTTTTTTGGGGTCATTGAACAACTAAGGATGTGAAGAAGCTCATCTTAAGTACAATACAGCAGATTAAATAAATGTAAAAATCATGTGATAGACAATTTTATCATGTGGAGATTTCAGGCTTAAGACTAAGTGTCAACAAAAGTGAAGCATGCAAGAATGATATTTTAATACTTTGTTTATCGTTGCTGTGTGTTATATACTCCTTTCTGATGTATGACTACAAAACTAATTGTTAATAGTTTTGTCCAAAACAATCAACAAAAATTGATATTTTATAATCCAGATTGCCAAGAACAAGAAATGTTGTAGTGTTGATTTTAATTGTGAAATTTTCCCAACAAACTTAGTATGAATTACAAATATGTGCATTTTTTTTCTTTGTATTAAATATGAGTACAATAAGGGGGTAACAGAAGAACTATAAATTTACCAATACGAGTTTTTTCTTCATTGTTCACAAGGCTTTTATTAGAATTATGTTCATCTTCAACATCTCTGACAGCAATATCTCCTAAATGAAGAACAGCTGCGAGTATACGGTAGATAGTATCAATCTCCTGAAAATAAAGTAGAGAAATATTTACTTGACAAAATTAACTGAAAAAAACATTTAGCAGAACAAATTTTATAAAACAGTCACAGGCTAACATAAAAAAATCTGGAAATAAGATAATAGTGTATTTGTGTTAAAAAAAATATCCCGGAAAAGTAGAAGTTTATGCATCAAATTTCATGGAAATAAAATGATTAGGTATTTACAAGAAAAGGACAATAAGTCACCTGCAAGTAGAATAAAATAGTCAACTCTTTGACAAAATACTGGGAAATAAAACAAACACATATTAACAAAATAAATCTTTTGAAAATAAAATAACCAAATCTTCGCAGAATAAAACTTATTGAAGATTGAACAAATCAGATATTTACAGAACAAAACCCCTCAATGTTAAGCAACAAATTGTTACTGGACAAATATCCTAAGAATAAAACAATAAAAATCCTAACAATATAAATCTCCTGATAACAAAACAATCAGATATTTACAAGACAAACTCCCAAGACAAGTCTCTTACCTTAAAATTAATTTTTAAACATTGATATAAGAAAATACCAATTAAAATAATTCAAAACTCATCTACTGTACTTTGCTGAATGGTGTAAAAGTATTCAAATAGCATATTATATCATTACTATTTTCATACAAAAAACATTATTTGTGGCAAAGAATTAGTTTTATTCCTGAACATGTATTTCTCACCAACCATTAATGTTTTCCTCACCTTCAGACGGAAACCTAGGAGTTGAAAGCCTTGTTTGATATTATTAAATGTTTTCACGTTTACCTCTCTACATGAAGAGTTGGAACTAAATTCTTGTATGTACCTAAAAAAAATCAAATAATGTTACTAAGCAACTAAAATACTTAATTAAAATATAAATATATGTTACTACATCTATACTATAAAGTGAATATGCCCAAGAGGGATTCTATAACACTTTATTTATTTTCTCATTTTTATAAGTTTGACAGCCATTTGAATTTTTATAATATATATCCATTAAAGAGAAACTCTTACAATTTAAATTGAAATTAATATAAACAAGTAATGAAAATAATTACCTATGTTGATGTCTCTCACTGTGGTTTAGATAGTAATCTGATGTCTTTCCTTCAGATTCCAGACCATCAAAAAGGTAATAAAAAATGTGAAAGTTCCTCTCTCCTCTGCAAGAAAAGATTAAAAATGGTTTACAGCTAGAGAATATTACTTACAGTGTAACCATTCTGAAAGACTTCTAAGTCAAAACCTACATGCTATCAATGATACAACTAAGTTCAAAGTGAATTAAATTTAAGTATACTATAAATAAATATAGAAACAAACAATACAGCATAACATGAATTTATTAGAAAAGTCTATCAGTTTAGATGCATATTAAACAGTTCCAAAATTTTGAAAAAGTAATAAGAATCTATTTTAAAACAGGAACTTTACATCAAACAGACACACACAAACAGCATATTATTATTAAAACATTTGCTTGCATCCAACCCAGTGTTGCCATCTAGTAAACCTTTTTACAGTGCTTCTACACAATATTTTTAAGATACAATTACAGTACAAAATCTACAAATAAAAACAAAACTAAAAATCATGTCACTTACAGAGCTTGTCTCACAACTCTTGACTGTTCCAGTAGGTAGACTGAGAGTTTTGCTATAAAAAAAAAGCTAAGTTTGTGTTTTTGTTTGTGAAATATAAATTACACAATAAGAAATGTACAACCCAAGTTTATTATATAGTTTTCTGGTAACAGAACTGAACGTTTATTACAAGTGTAGTTTATTTAATCTTTTTAGAGAAAAAAATGTATGTATATACAATGAAGTTAACATAAAAATAGTATAGGTGTTCTTAGATAATTAAAATTTATTGCTATAGTAGTGTATTCTGCAGCTGGATTGATTAAAATTATTTGTTATAATGATGTGTACTGTAACTTTTTTTTGTTAGATGACATTGTTCTTATTGTGTTTACAGTTTTCTGTTCCACATATCTGAATGTAAGAAGAAATATGCGAAACAAAATGCAGGATTAGTTTAATGTCATCATAACTAACTAAATAAAAATACTAAAAATTTAGATCATATATATATATATATATATTCACAAAGGTTTCAAGCAGTTTAAGAATTTAGGTGAATGAATGTTTCTTAAAACACAACTTGACAATATACAGTGGGATTATATAAACGAGTCTCACCTCCAGTCACTTTCCCTAGTTGAGTGAAGGTCAAATCCAAGTATTTACCAAAACGACTGGAATTGTCATTTATACCAGTTTTTGCATTTCCAAACGCCTCCATAATTGGGTTAACTTGTAAGATCTTTTCTTCCAAGTTACGGTTTGGAGCCTATATTCCAATATAGATGGGAAAAAACCTTTTTCATTTAATACCAATTAAGAAGTTTCTGGTAATATAATTTACCCTAAAAAACAATTAGTGTAGTCCATAAGCATTTTAATCTTTTAAAAGTTCAGAATATAATAGAGAACATCATATACATTTGATAAAAACAACACATTTCCTATCAAACATAATTTTCTGAAAAACTTTACAAATTTGTTATATTAGGTTCAGAGGAGGGCTTCTAGAATGGTTATAGTGATGGAATGTTTTTATACAGCTAGATTAAGGTCTCTTAAGAAAAGAAGGGTATGAAGTGATCTAATAAGTCTAAGAGATTACCCAGAGGATTTTTAGGATAAAGGCTTCTGTTTTTTATGGGCTGTATCCTGAAGACAACAGAACAAGAGGACACAAGTTTAAGATCTGGAAAGACAGCTTCCAGTTCCAGTTAAGACAGTTTAATTTTTTTAACACAGTGACTGGCTTATGGAATTAACTGCTTTCAACAGTAATGGAGGACAGCACTTTACAAGAGTTTAAGGGAGAATCAATATTTCCTGAGAAGTAAAGATTAGGTTAAAATATTTACTTTTCTCAAAAGTGGGTGTGCAAGAACAGCCTTGAAGGACCAAATGCCATCCATATATTAAAAATAAAATGTAATATATTATGCATCATAAGGTATTCAAAACTCTTTACATTTATTTTAGATCTTACAATTATTACGATAGAAGACAAGAATGAAGCATATAATGAAATTTAAAGCTTAACAACTTCTACACAACCAACGGTAACAACTTTTTTGAAAATACCATAATGTACAATACCTAAATTTCTGGAGCTCAGTTTCACAAGAAAACACTTAACATAACTGTTTCTACAAAAAAAAAAAGAAGTCATTGAACATATTCAACAATCCTATTTTCTAATATTGTCACAACTACTCTGAAAACATATCTCACTAATTTCATTATCATTTTATCAGGTGGTTTTAAATCTACAAATTCACTCTCAGGAGTGTATGAATATTTGATTTTAAATTCAATTTTTCATAAGTCACATAATTAAAAAAAAATAAAGTTATTACTTGCCTTTCCAAGTGATACCATTTGTTTTAACAAAAAGTTAGCACTTTCAGTTTTGCCAGCTCCACTCTCACCGCTGATAACAACACACTAAAATCAGAAATAAACCTTCACTATGCCTTGCAATATACTGAGCTGTTAAGACAACAATAAATCTAATGATACAAAAAAAAACACAACCATATACTTTCAATAATTATAACTATGTGAACAATTAACCATTTAGGAAAGTTATCATTTTCTTACACTGAAAATAGATTTCCGATAGCTACTTACCTCCGCTCATGCTAGCCTTTATACCCCATAAGTTCAAGCTTCTCATTTAGCATACACAGAGCATGTGACAACCAATAGGAGCATGACCCACTCTCCTAGAGCAGCTGACTCCCTCTATACTGCTTTACATGAGCCTCACTTTCGAGATTAGGCCCAAAAGAAACAGAAGAACACTGGAAGTGTGGTGGAAGGGTGGGAAGTGTGTGAGAAGAGGTAAGCATTTATAAGAAATCTATTTTCAGTGTAATAAAATGATAACTTTTGATACAATACATACCTCCTCTCACACAATAGCCAGAATCCCACATTGAGCAGTAGGTAAAACAAGAGACCCCCTGTGGAAAGCATTCATAGAGAATCGAACAGGTGTGTTCTGTAATTGAATGAAAGCACACATGTAGTGGACTACACCACTTCAGGAACAGGTCTGCTCTTTGCCCACAAAGAAGTGTAGTGTCATGAAATGGATGGCATTGAGACCAGGAGCAAGTAAAAGAAAGACCTCAGAAACAATGTATAAGATAGTAAAAAATCAATGCGAGTCCCACTCAATCCTCAACCTCACAAACATGACTGAAAACAAACAAGCTCCAGCAGGACAATAATCATATGTAGCATAAAGAAAAAATTAACACTGATAGGTAACTCCAAACCCACACATAAAACAATGAAAAGCCAATAGCCAGTTCTTGGAATTATGAAGATAAAGACATTTATCTAGACATTGCTAAGTATCTACTCAACCCTAACTATACAAGTTCTATGTTCTGTCCTCAGCAAACCATTAGTAATATATACACTAGCCCCTCCCATAAGTAAACAGAGGGCCATACTGCAAGTAGCCAAAGTTACCATGTGGAATTAAGCAAAAGGCATTTAGGAACTGGGAAGTGGAAAGGATGCCCAAACTTCACTTGAAGAAGGAAGGTGTAAAAGGGTGTATTAGGTGTATTAGGGAGTCTGGAGGAATGTTACACCAAAGAAAGTGTAATTGGTGTTTGCAAAACCATGTTTTAAAAAGCAGACCCCTCCTGATTTATTCAATTGAAGGAGTGGCAGGGATGAACAGCAATCCCCTTCTGCTTTACTCATGATAGTCCATGAGAGATGATCCACCATGTACTTATCATAATTTTACATGTTGAGAAACACACACACATATATATATATATATACCACTAAGTAAGCTGCTAGTGATCTTGCAGAACACCTCATCTCAACAGTGTGTGTTATAAACTTAAAGGTATTTGATGCAGATTTATAGGAAAGCATATCTGACCAGGCAACACTTGCCACTTAGTGGGATCCAAATATATGTCGAATAAAACAAAAGCCTCTGAAAGAAACATAACAGGAAAAGACACTAACCCAAGTTAGGGTCAAACCGGTGTGTGCTGAATCACCACAGGAGGTAGACAATATACACCAGAGAAAGACAGAGCCACATGGTGTAACTAATAAGTTAGATAGTAGTCCACAATCCAACTTGTATATCTCCTCCAGAGGACAATAAAAATGAGCTGCTAGAGACATGGTGATATGTCGAATCTGACGAGATGAGACCTGATAAAGATGACACCCTTCCAAGGAGAGGGAAGAGTAAGTCAACCTAATAAGCTGACAAACCCAACCTGTAAGAGTGATGAGGGAGGAGAATGAGAGGATAGGGCCTTGATGATCAACTGCTCCATATCCCAAAGACAAAGTGGAGAAGGCTGTGTTTGACTGAGGTGGGAATTGAAGAAAACCCCTAAGTGAACTAGATACTGTGTAGAGTAAAGGATAGACTTTGTTTAACCAACTACATGAGCTATCTCCTTCAGGAGCAAATGGGTGTGGTCAGAAGATGCCAAACAGGAAGGAGCTAGATGAAGCCAATAATCCATATAATGATAAGACTGGAGAATATAGATGTTGAATGAAGGTCTTGACTACCTGACAAAACAATTAAGAAGCTGAAGCAAGCCAAAGTGGAAGAGCTCAGAACTGGAAAACACATCCCTCATGGACAAACCAAAGAAAACAATATGAGGATGAAGAGATGGGTATATGAAGGCATGTTATATTGAACTCAGTCATCCAAAGACCTAGAGTGAAAATTCAACAAAGGGACTGAAACGACTCCATTTCGACAGGAAAGGTTGATAAAAGGTCTCCAATCTCAGGTTTTCTTGTGGACAACTTAAAGCTGAGAGTAAAAACTCGGTTGAATGAGAAACATCAACTTGATAGCTTCCTTGAGAAGAATTTCTCTCACTGCCTCAGACAGATGACTGCTTGAGACAGGTAAAGGAACTGGAGACAAAGAAAGAAAGTGGTGACCAAAATTGAAAAGAGAGACCCTCTGCCAAAACTCACAGAATCCATGGATTGGTAATGATGGTCTCCCAAATATTGACAAAACAGTGGAGCCTGGCCCCCATAGGATCTGACCTCACTGTGTAGTCACCTATACTGCTGTCAATGATTTTGACGGACATGGGAAAAAATGAGGATAAGGACAAGAATGTCGAGATGCGGGAAAAGGACAAAATGTGGAATAGGGAGGATGGGAAACTGGAATAGGATCAGGAGATGTGAAGGAAAAAAGGTTGTGATAAACAATTAGCAAGGGAAAATAGGGAAGCATGCAACTTGGTTGCATAAACATGGGACTCTAAAGAATTGGGATGGCCCCCAAAAAATAGGATCTCAGGTCCTCCGAAAAATCGTCTGGAGAATGATAAAAGACCACGGACAAAAGGTACAAAGAGGAAATGTGACACAAAACGTAAGTAAGTGTAAGATGAATCCTCAAAAATTGTGCTTGTGAAAATGATACAGAAGCCACAGGATTAAAATCGCATAGGGGTAAAAGCAGATCTTTTATGTGAAATAAATTATGTGAAAAATGGTAATTAAAGTCAGTAACACACCAGAATGCAAGAAAGTGCAAAAAAAATAACAAATATGAACAAAGTTGGAAAAAATAATTATTGAAAACTGAAAGCAAGTGAGAAACATGTCCAACTCATATTGTGTCAATTGAGAAAGTGAGATTCATGTAAAGGAGCACAGAGGAAGCAAGCTGCTCCAGGAGGGCATGTCATGCTCCTTTTGGTGGAGGGTTATCACATGCTCTATGCATGCTAAATGAGCAGCTCAAACTTGTGGGGTATAAAGGCTAGAGTGTCAAGTGAAAAAATGTATTTTCAATGCAGTAGAGTGGGAGTATATATATATATATATATCATATCGGAAATTGTGTATATTTGTCATTTAAGAACAAAACAACAGCAATTTGGTGACACTTATGTCTCATATTCCACTATTATAATCATCTTTAATTTTTTCAATGAAACTGAATGACAAAGTAACCATCTTTGACAATACCAAATTTTTCAATGTTAGAATTGAGACAAGAAACAAACTTCTTTTAATTTTTGATTCATAAAATATTAAACAACTAAAGCATACCAACCTGATTCTGCCTCTGATGAAGCATTGAATGATAAGCACTGTCAGCAATGGCAAAGATGTGGGGAGCATTGTCTGCTTTTGCATGATTACGGTAAACAAGAGATATCTAAAGAAACACACACAGAGAGATTAAATTACCATAAATAATGAAAAACTGTACAGAACCAAGCAAACTGGAATGATAACATGACATTAAAAGAAAGATATAGTAATTTTGATTTTAAGATTACTTTTTCTTCTTAAAGTGTACATATTTTATTATGGTTATGTAAAAAAAAATATTTTTTTACTTAACAGAAGAAACACAAATTGTGTTCAAACTCTTATTAAAGTGTGAATAATTCATGGCAGTAATTCTTAAGTTATAAATGATCAGGAAAAGTTTAAATGTAGTTAGTACAGTGCTTATAAGACACAACTGACTACCTCATCTGTGTAAAGAGAGACATCTTGAAAAGGGTTCACAGCCAATAAGATATCACCAATGTAGGTGTAGATCTGATTTTGGCCATACCTCTTTGCTAGCTGTTCAACAATGATGTCCTGTAAGATAAAATAGATATACATTGTGTTACTTTCCAAAAAATAAAAGGATATACGTTTACAAGTATCAAGTCGCATACGTGTATCTCTTTGTAAGACTTCTCAATCTGGTATGATACTATAAAATTCTAGGCTTAACAAGCAAAAAAAAGAAACAAATAAATACACAAACATACAAAAAGAACTTCTTTTAAACTACAATTGTAATAATGCAAGTGAAAAATTATCAACAGACAGCGATACATTTGCTCATAACTCTCACTGGCATGAAAATCTTTGAAACAACAGCATGGAAATTTGATATACGTGTATAATATCCTATGCTTTCACTAATTTAAGAATTATAATACAACAGCAATTGCCATTTTTAAGAGTCGAAACTTATTGATCTTTATACACACAAATAAAGTCAAATATGAAGTATGGTGTTAAAGTTAAAGAATATACACAAAAGTCATAATAAAAATTAACTATCCATTTTGTAGATTTGTAAATGTTGATTTTTTAAGACAATGTTATGCATTTTTTAAAATAAATTTTAATATGTTTTTAAGCTTACTTCTGTTAAATTTTCCAAACCAGCCAGATCATCCATCATGATAGGTTGGGGACGAGATTTTCGATCAGTTTTCAACTGACCATGTTTAGTAGTGACTTCTGGTGGTCTTTTACAATAACCTAACTCCTCCTGTTTCCACATGATTTCTTTTAATTGTAATTGTATCTGGAATAAAGATTTTTAGCATTATCATTCCTTTCTATTTAGATCCATTAAACAAACTTATAAAAACATATCATATATATATATATTGAGATTAATTTCATGTTATTTTAGATTTTTGTTCATAAGAAATTAAGAGAAATTTCCTGTTGCAAGGAAAAATGTACTTGTTTCATTTACTACATTCTGATAACAAATTCTGGTATATACTTAAGTATAAACAAGGTTACCTCAGTAGGATTCACAGGAACTTGTTCAATAAAAGGATGTCTCAGAAGCTCAGAAACCATTGGTCGCTCTTCAAAATCTTTGATCAAGCACCTAAATTGCAATCACATCAGGTATTACATCAGATACTAATTATATCTTGCTCTAGGCTAAATTATACTGACTTTTAATTACAGTTATCACTAGCATTCCTTATGCTCAATTTTAAACATAGATATTTTTTAACCTTTTCACCAAGAACAAAATTATACAAACAATACAGATTTTTCTCAGAAAAAACTATTATTTATGTACATAACAATGATATGCTTTCTTGAATAAGTATATTTTAATAGGCTTGACAGTCCTAGAACTTGTTTTATTTTCAAGTGGAAGAAAAGAACAAAGACTGAACCCATTAGTAAAGAAATCTAATATGTTGACAGTCCCAGAACTTGTTTTATTTTCAAGTGGAAGAAAAGAACAAAGACTGAACCCATTAGTAAAGAAATCTAATATGTTGACAGTCCTAGAACTTGTTTTATTTTCAAGTGGAAGAAAAGAACAAAGACTGACATATTAGATTTCTTTACTAATGGGTTCAGTCTTTGTTCTTTTCTTCCACTTGAAAATAAAACAAGTTCTAGGACTGTCAACATATTAGATTTCTTTACTATATTCCATTTTTGTTAAATTAGAGAATGACTTAAACTCCTTAAAGTTTTTAACTCAAATGCAGAGATTGTGACAAAAATAATATAACCGACTCAAGTTTATTGCATATATAAAAATTACTGAATTAATACCATTCCACTTACATTTATCTCCTCCATGCTAATTCATACAAAATACTAGAAAACAAGTATATTTCAATCATTTGAAAAAAAATCAGTGCTTCTTAAGAAATTAGTTTAAAAAAAAAATCTTAAAATTTTTCCTGTAATGTTCCTGAAAAATTACTTGTTAAAAAGTAATCAACGAAGTATACATGGTACTTAATCTGAGACAATGTTCTTTAATTTTTTCCATTATAATAGGACTGGATGAAAAACAAAATTTACTCTGAAATGAAGTCACTGAAGGTTTCGCTCCACTCAAGCTCTCTCTTCAACTTTGGTGGGGGATTCCTGGAGGAAAATTGAGAAAGACTACTAAATAAAGAAAAACTGAAACAAAGACTTGTCAAAGATTAATATGAAAATATAAATCAACTGGATTAATGCTAGTGAAGAAAGTTTACCTTGGTATCTGAAACAATGCCCTCATTGGATGAACATCAGCAAGAGGGGGTTCTCCCTCTGCCAGTTCTATTGCAGTTATCCCTACTGACCAGACGTCACACCGAACATCATACGAGTAGTCTAACTGTTGTTCACAAGCTACCACCTGGAAACATATAAGTTCTGGTAAACTAGTTTGTTATGAAACATTTCATATATTTGTGTACAAATTATAGACACAATGAAGATCTCTAGAACAATACTTGCTTCAAACAAAGGTAAATAATTTCAAACTTTTTGGTTATCACTTTATGCTCCTTTTTTTGTTTTGAAGGCTCTTAATACTGAGTGCTATTTAAAACTTTGAATCATCTCCATATATCACCTTCAATCAACAGTTATTTTCAAATCTTATCAATGATGTGTATTTAGTCTAGATCTAACACATATTTTATTTCATTACAAAATGTACAAAAAGTAAAAAAATGCTTGAAATTTTCAGTCTTTAAATTTCTAAAATGTGTATTAACATTTCAGAGCTGCTTTGATAAATATAAATATTCACATTAAAACACAAGAAAAATTACAAAAATTCAATGTATATTGATTTTTCATTAGCATATTGTCATCCAAGTTGCACATATTTGTGAAGAGCAAATCAAGATATATCAATTCTTGTATACAACATAAAAATATCAAAATCAGACTAGTTCAAAAGGTAACATAATAATGTCTTTCTTAATATATAAAAATAAAGAAGGCTAAAAAAACGTTTTTCGAAAAATAAAATGAGAATAATAACAGAAAACATCATATTAATTAGTGTGTGATACACATAAATTGTCCACTCACTTCTGGAGCCATCCAGTAAGGAGTACCCACAGATGTATTCCTCTTTCCCATGGTATCTTTCAAGTGGGAAGATACACCTATAAACCAGAAATGAGATAAAATTAATTGTTAGGCTATTATACACTTAGTTATATCACAATATATTTTTGTTTTATGAAATCATAAAACACTTCTCTACTTATTTTGTTCTTGGAGTTCACATCAGATCATCTGCACACTCAGAATATTTCATTTTGCATTCTTTTGATGCAAGTTATCAAGTTATAAACTTCCTGACTAAATAAGCACCAAAAGAAAATATTCAAATATATATATGTTCAAAACTCCCAGTGGCACACAGTGGTATGTCTGCAAACTTACAATGCTAGAAACCGGGTTTTGATACCCATGGTGGGCAGAGCACAGATAGCCCATTGTGTAGCTTTGTGCTTAATTTCAAACAAACAAACAAAAAATATATTCAAAAATATTAACTCTATAAATGTGATACAAATATTCAACATGCACACATATATATATAAGGAAATCATAAACTGTGTCCTTACCAAAATCAACAAGTTTCACATTAGCATCTTCTGTTAGTAGGATGTTGTGTCCTTTGATGTCTCTATGCATACAATGATTTCTATGAAGATAAGCAAGGGCCTGTCAAAGAGAAAGTGACAACTAATCAATAATAAATAATACCAACTAATATTTTGTAGAAAAATCATTAACCAACTACTCGTGAAACTTGTCACAAGATTTTGAATGTAATGAAGAAAAGAAACATACTTTCTCTCTCACTTAGAATAAGAGAGAAAAAAAGTATCTGTAAAGTAAGAAAATGTGTCATAAAACACCAGAAAACAGGATAATGTGAAATTCAAATAAGAACAAAAGTACTAATAAAAAATCACTTACATGCAAAAATGCATATATGAAGGTTATCTAGCTGGAAAAATAAAAAGAGACGAAAAGAAAAAAAATGCAGTGAGGTTTTTTCCTTTTTTTGTCTTTAAAGAATACCATCAGAACAAAATTGTCCAAATACTGGAGTGGTTCTTTAATGTTGAAAGTCACATTATAGTTTTGAATAAAAGTATTGATAAATGTCTGTGTGTATAAATATTCAATAAGGCAATAAAATATGTATAAGTACAAAGAATTATTTATAAGGAAGAAGTTGCATATAAGCCTTTGTATACTCATGTTATAATATACTGAAAACATCACAGCAGTATTACTTTTCTGATAATTTTGAAACCTTACTAACTGTAAATATTTATTAAATATTAGGTCTTAAAAAAGAAATACAAAGAGACTGCCAGAAAGTTTGGTTCATCAGAAATTTGACTATTCATGCAATCCTAATAAATTTTTAACTAGTTCCTCAGTCTTAGATTATTTTATTTTTAGTACAGAAACACACAACTACACTAGCAGTACTTGATCAAAATCTTAGTGGATTTTTTAATTTGTGATTTTGACATATACTATTATTCAATGGAGAAAAACACCTCAATGTACTAAATATTAATAGATACTGCACACTTTTCTTTAAAAAACTGACAATCTTATGTTTGTGAAAGGATCATATTTTACCTTTAAAACAGTTTGAAGTTGATCAATGGGAATTGCAAGTTCTAGATCAAGAAATATGTCAAGTCACATCACAAGCCAGAAAATCTGCTATTATTAAAAATTCTTAGTTCTGATAATGGAAATGTTTGTTATTTAATACTGACCTTTTCTGACAACCTTCCAAAAAGCTAAATCGTATTTGACAGTTATTTTCACATATGAACTAACACTTGCTCTTTTGTTATAATACAGTTGGAACTGAATGTAGTACATTTGAATGTCTCTAGTTTTCAACTCCATGATATTAACCCTTTTGCTGCATAGTTCGGACATATCTGAATAAACTTTCATACCCACTGACTTCAAAATTTGGATTTACCCCACAGCTACCAAAAAGGTTTCCCTCTACTATGACATGCAGGAATATCCCTTATTATTTTTGAAACAATGTCCAAACCTGCATGTGTGCTGCCATCTGTGTCCCATGTCGTGAAACCTGGATGTTTATACACCTCATTACAAAACAGCAAACTTTGCAGGAACACATATAAAAATCTACATAAAGATAGCTTCTTTATATCTTGGATATTGTTATCTAAATAATTTGTTTTATATTTTGTAATGATTTTGGCCTCTTATTGACTTGGCCTATATTTACATCATTTACTAGAGAACACTTTTCTTCTGATTTTCCTCAATTTTTTGTTTAAATCATTATTTTTCACAATTTAATACAGTTTTTAAGGAATATTAGTGTCAGACATAGAATATTGAAAAAAATTATACAAAGGGTAAAATTCATACCTTTATTTTTTGATGGATAATTGACACTTTTTTGAGAATCAGCCTGAAACTTATATATTCTTAATTAATCCAGACACAAACATACTAAACATATCTGTCTATAATGAATTCATTAGATGGTGTGTATTACTATAAATATAAACTAAACTGAAACCTCAACTAATGTACTCACATCCATAGTTTCTCTCAAAATAAAGGCAATAATTAATTCTGGAAGTCTCTTGCCTCTCTTTATCAAACTTTGTACAAGATCTGTCACTGAGCCACCTGAACACAGCTGGAATCATATGGACAGATAAATGAAAATACATTAATACATATCATTATAAAGTTCTTTCATGAGTTGGATCCTCAACATAAGCAAATCATCTTGCATTAGAAGTAAAAATCCTCTCAAAATGCAATTAATGATATAACAAAAACCTGTTTATATTTTTAAGTTTAAACATTAATTTGATTGTTGTTAACTAAATGGAATTAAAATTGTGAATTTTTTATAAGTATAGTATATTTACACAATGTAGGTCTTATTCAAAAATATGAACTAACATTTCTGATATATTTTCAGCAATTTGCCTTTTCCTTTTCATTGATTGTAATCATACACAAAAATGTGAATAAAATCAAACCTATTAAATCCTGATTCAACAATGACAACTACAAATATCCATTAAAGTGCCGATATTTTATTGTTTAATTTTTTCCAACCAGCACAGTTACTTTACAGCTTCTCCAGTCAGAAATTATTTTATGCAAGTCTTTGTTTTTTAGCTATTATAGATCCCAAAATTATCTTCTATAATGCCATCAGAGAGCAACTATCTTGATAATTGGTTTGGGATGATCAAAAATCTCTAAAATGATGGTTGCATAACAAATTATTGCAATAATTGTGATTATTGTGCTGTTTGCTTAGTGAGACAGTGCAATTAATACAAGTCTTTTTTTTATTAGAATTTTTTTTCCATCTCTCTAATACAGAGTGAATGAACACAGCAAGCTCAAGTATTGCTCACTGTTTCATAAAAGAAAAACTCTAAAAGTTATATTAAATTTGTATGTGTACTTTGTGGGATAGTGAAAGAGTAAGTGAATTTTTAGGAAGGACAGGAGATTTTTCTAGCATTTTGTCACTAAAACAAAAATATTTTTAAAATAATGTACACCTCTTATTAATGTGTCAGCATTTCTACTGTAAACTTTGTATCAAGAAAAGTGTTTATCTTATGAAATACATTTTTGGATTGAATCTGAAATGTCATGAGTGACATTTTACTTTTAGGTTATAAGTGCTGCCTTCAAACCAGATATTTTTCAGAAATAAATGTACACTGAAAACAAATGACACATGTACCTTGCCTTTTATAATTAGCTCAAAGTCGAAAGAACAGCATCACACAGTTACATTTCCATTCTCTTTCACAGTTCCAACTACATGCTTTCAGAGAAAGTAATAAATTACTGACAATAAATGTACTATGAAGCTCTACCATTCCTCCATGGATAGCCATTAGCAAATAATCATAAAGAATTTGTTTAAATAAAACTGAGGCAAAACTGTATGACCAATTACAGTAAAGTAAAGGATATTCAGGTAGCAGGAGATGATATCTATGTCGTAAACATAGCTATATATGATAATAATGACTTTTACATTAATAAAACAATCAAAATAAATTATAGAACTTTTTTGCACATGTAATTTTTCTCCATTAACACATGTTGGTATTTGGTTTAATAAGAACTAAGAGTGAACAGGTGTCAGGCAAGTTGTTGTAAAAGAGAGCCTGAACTTTCAATCTGACTTACTATCATCTCTCTCAACTAAATTTATAATCAGTTTTCACTTACAATATGAAGGATAGAAAATACGTCCCAACCATTAATTCTCCTACCTACAGTCTAGTGAGTTGGGCTCATGCTCAAACTAGCCACTGAAGCACAGCACCATTAAGTGGTGGAGATTATATGACTTATAAGCACAGATTTTAGTAAATTGTAAAATGGAAGTGGCAGCACAAACTAAACATTTTAAGTACGTGTATTGTTCCTAAAATTAAAAAAGTGGTATGAAACACAGGTGGTTAAACTGCCCTCTGTGTCCCACCCCTCGTGACATTTCCAGATGCTGATTTATATATTTTATAAAATTCAAACAATAATGGTTATCAAGGATTTGTTTATTACAAAAGATGCTCAAATTAATATGATATTGTTCTTTCATGATAAACCACGGTAGTATTTTTTACAATGCAATTCTATTTTTGCTACTTGTATTTGATAGGATAATATTAACTTATAGCAAATTGTCTTGACCCTACTTGATGACTTAATGCACTTCAATAGGCATGGGCTGTGTGTGGAAACACTTATAATTATCTCATTGTATGCTATTTCTTTCTCTTTAAGTATTTTTCTTTTAACTTTAGCTTCACATACCACAACTCATACCAGCTGACAAATTTAAAATGTTTTATGTCCAAGAGAAACTATTTTGATAAATAAAAACTTGTTAGAATATATCTTTTACTCCTATGCACCTCCATAACAAACCAAAGCTGATCTTCTTCCCGCTGTGCTCCTGGTTTTAGGTAAAGTCCGTTGAACATTGGAATGTTGGGATGCAGACATAAATCACGCAACACAAGGTACTCCTCCTCAATCTCTTCCACATTGTCTGCTATGTTTTCCATTATTTTCACCGCCACCATCCTCTCTGGACAACAACAAAAAATTGACATTTCTCTCTGCTTGAATATCAATATTACAATTATTATAAGTATCTATGTCATCAAGGTTATGGAAATGTTGCTTATAAATGTAAAAAAGATAAAATTTGGATGAGTGATAAGAAGTATTTTGTTAATGTTTTTATATAAATTGAAATGTTCAAAATGTCTGCTTCAGAAAGTTTCTTTCCAAATGACAAGTTCACAATGTATCAATATTAAATAATCATGACAATAACTACTGACAGACCCCAACATTTTGTTAACTGCTGCCATTCCAATTTTCTATACAGCACATCATTCAAATGCATACAAATGACATAAGAAAGTCTAAATTTCTAACAATTTACATCACAAAACATTTACATTAATTACATGAATCTTTATTTCTTTGGACTATGTTAAACTTAATTATCACACAAGCCTAACATTTGAGTATAGTGTACCAAAGTATTTCAAACTAAGTGACAGACACATTACTAGTTTGTGATTAGTTCTTATTCACTGCAACTTAATCACAGAATAAAACAATTTTTACTTAAGTAGTCCTACATATAGCATTTTAATACAAGCCTAAAATCAAGGCAGTCGTTTCTGCTTCAAACAAAGATTTATCACTCTAAATATGTTTAAGACAATTCATTACTAGTAAAAAATAATACAAGTTATTAGTCCTCTAAACACTAATGTTTTAATTCAATCTAATTGCACTACAACTTCAAGATATTCATGTTCATGATGGACAAATATGTAACTTTTTAAAAATTAAAATTTGTGATTCTGTCCACTAACAATATTAATCTACTATTTTAAAATGAGAATTTAAGAAAATAAGTGCCAGTCGAAGCTTAATCACTATGAAATAAAGATCAACATTTCTTGCCAAAAATCATGTTTTGCTTTATTTTTGTCAAACAGACAATTGCCCAGATGAATTATAAAGATATACATATAACAGCCTTTGAAATGGACCTATTATTAAAAAAGTTTCTGCACTAGTGCTAGGAAAGAAGTTTTCTTGTTACCAGATAGAGACTCAATACTTCTAACTCTGAACATTTTAGTTTATTTTTCTCTTTTCTTTCTTTTTATTATACACAGTATTTTGATTACTATATTCAACTCTCAAGTTAAACAACTTTTGTCATCATTATTGTAGAAAATGACAAGATTATAGCTTATGTAAAAATAAACAAAAAACATTTGGTTGTCACACAGTTAAATTTACAGAACTTTACAAATCGTTATACAAAATTCTACAATGTGTCTTATAAAGTATGGCAGTTTTATCTTTTTGAAAGGCACTCAAGCATAAACAGCTAATTAAAACTAGACTATTTGGTACAATAATGATTATGATTAATTTCTAAGGACCTGAAAATTTCACAGAATGTATCTGACCTTCAAAACAGTCAACAAGTCACAACTGTGAACATTACAGGTTTCAACAATTATACTTGTTTAAAAATTGAATCACAAAACAAAACCACTGGTATTATATGAAAGTATTGGATTTTAAACAGAGAAATTAATAATCTCTAAAAAACACAGTTATGTATCAGTTTTAAAATTTAGGATACCACTAAAAATATTCTATTCAATAACAGAGATAATAACTAAACACTCTGGAAATCTAAGTATTAAATATAAAGGCTTGAGTGTTTTTATCTGCTATGGTTATGAATGAGAAAGGTTTCACTCAGTTTTTACAAGTTAAGATGAGAGAGTAAGAGATTTAGAATACTGAACAGTTGGTAGCTTCACTGGACTAAAATAAAGTAAGGGTTTTTACATGGAAAAGTATAATGATACCAAGCACTTGCAAGTATCAGATATTATTACACAAACCTACCATGGGTCAGATCATTAAAACATGACCAAATTCACCAAATAAATAATTTGTGGATATTGTGTATAAATATTAGTTAACACACTTACCATTTACATTATCCCTAGCTGCAAAAACTTCCCCATATGTTCCTTCTCCAATAACATGTTGTAGATCAAAGTCATACATAGGGTCAGGCAAGCTCAGAAAGTCTATGTTCTGTGATAGTGAGGAATAATACACCTCCCTGCTTCCCACTGCTACCGTCATCTTGTTTGTCTTATTATGAGTTTCTACCAAAATAAATTTCAATCTGTGTTATGAATTTAAATATATATATATATTTGCAAAGCTATGCTTGAGTGTTTATGGTGTATTGTATGTAATCACAGTGTCAGATATAACTGCTTTTTTGCCAAAAAAGCACAGTCATTTTTAGTAAAATATAAGCAATTATCAATTAATTACAAAACTGTGTGATTGTATTGTGGTTTCCCAATTTACTAATCTTTGCTCTTATAGTCAATGCTTGCATGATTCAATGAATTTCTAGAAAAGTGAAATGACAAATGATCCTGAGAACAATTTAATTAAAAAAATTTTGTAATTTCATAATCACTTAATAGTGAAATATCTAGTGCATTTTTAAAAAATTAATGATTTGTTACACTAGATGGACATTAATAATACACTGAAATACATAAAAACTGATTGTAAAGCACTTTGCTTAATAAAAAAAATGAATCAAATGATACTGAGTGATTGGGGTGAAAAATTGTTTGAACCTTAAATGTTACTTTAGTTGTTATGAGTCACAGAGTTCATGATTCAACTTCAAACATTTGTCTCATGATAGGTTGAAGATTTAACTTAACATGTGTGATGTCAGCTCAGAGGTAGCCACTGGATTATGTACCAAATATTACTAGATTGTGTAATCTGTTGTCGGTAAGGATAAGAAATGTCAAAAGTTGAATGATATTGTGAAGGTCAGCATACAGAATTATGTGTTTGGATATTAAACTCTGTTAGTTCACTAGGTAGAGCAACAGTTTCAAGACATGGACACAAACTATGGGTTGTGGGTTCAATATCCAGTCAAAGCAGCTTTCTTAATAAACAAAACTACTGCACTTTGCACAAAGTAGTATACTTAAATACCAGTTACTGAAAATAAAATAATATCCTGTATATAGTTTCAATAGAAGGTCCCAAGATTTTTAACAGCTATTGGTTAATGTATAATTGAGATTACTCAAATTATAAAAAATTTACACTGATTTTATAATAATGAATCACTTGCAAGAAATTTTATCAGATGATGATAAATTGAATGATCATTTTTGTGTTACAGCACACATCTAGATAATAATCAATTCAGTATTAAAGACAATTTTGTCTTAACTACAAAGTTATTTACTTGAAATCAGAAAGAACAAAATATACAATTTCAAGATGTTATATCTAATAGAAAAGTAAACATGTTTTGATACTTTTTCATGTTAATAATTTGCTCAAGAAGTTATAAAATGAAACAATAAGCTTTTTTTGTCTTTTAATTTCAAGGTTCTTAACTCATACACTTTTCAATGAACCACCTGTTATTACATCAGGTCTTTTATTGGATATAAACTAATTTTTAATAAAACAAGTGTTATCCCTTGTTTTGCTCATTTGATCTTGACAAAAACTCTTATTCCTCAAGATTCACATTTTCATGCAATTCACTTAACTAGCTCTCCATAACACTGACTCTATTACTTTATTAAAAGCAGCCAAAGCCTCTATTCACCAGACTTCTAGTAAAATATTCTGGAAAAACTGATGTCCATTACAGAGTTATCTGTTGTGAATTGGACAACTGTGTTATTTGGAAACATTGATCAAATGTGGAAAACGTTGAGAGATAAATTTCTAAATATTAAAAATAAACATATTCCTTATAGAAAGAAAAAGGTGGCTGCAAGTAAAAAACTGGGTTAGCTCACAAAGGGTATTAGGGATAAAATTATAGAAAAGCATCACAAATTTAAGAAATTTAAATTGATTGGTATGATGGAAGATTTAGAAGATCAAGAAAGATGGTGAATCAGGAAATTATGACATCAAAAAGTATTTATGAAAAATATGTTCGCTGAAAATGTAAACATTAACAGAAGAGTATAGAAAATGTTTGAATGGGGTAAGACACTTGAGGGATAAAAGAAGGTTTGTATCTGATGATTATGAGATGGCTGGGTTATTAAATTCTGCTTTTTCTTCAGTTAGTGAACAGTTAATAGATGGAAACAAGGTCAAACAATATGACTGCACTAATTCTGAGCTTGTTAAGAAAAATTGGGAAATTTAAAAAATGATAAGGCTCCTGGCCCAGATAATATTTCCTCAAAGGTGTTGAAGAATGTTAAGGATTGAATACATAAGCCACTTGCTACTATTGTTTGTAAGTCCTTAAATAGTGGGCAGATACCAAAAGATTGGTTAGCTAATGTCACCCCTCTTTTCAAGATAGATAATAAAAACTGTCTAAGTAATTATAGGCCTATTAGTTTTACATAAGTTGTGGGAAAAGTTTTGGAATATCTGATGAAAGATGCTTTGCAAACTCATTTAACAAAGTTTATACTTTTACTGGATAGTCAATGTGGTTTTATTAGGGGAAAATCTTGCCTAACAAATCTTTTGATCTTCTTTGAAAAGGTTGCTACTTATAAAGATGATGGTAAGGGTGTAAATTTGGTGTATCTGGATTTTCAGAAAGGTGCCACATAAAAGACTTGTAAAAATATTTACCTCTATAGATGTGCGGGATAAGATTGAGTGTTGGTAGCTGTGAAGAGGATGCTGTTGCTTTACAAATAGATTTAGATCATTTAGTGAGTTGAGCAAATAAATGGCAGATGAGTTTTAATTATAATATATGCATGTGGGTTATCATAATTTGAATTCTAAGTATAATTTGGATGGGAATAATTGAACAGTGTCATCTTGGTGTAATGGTTGATCAGACTCTTAAACCATCCAAGCAGTGTGCTGTTGTTAGTAGTAAGGCAAAAAGGATTTTAGGTTGTATCTACAGATATATTGAATACAAGTCTAAAAGGGTTATAATTTCATTGTATAGGTCACTGGTTCAGCCACATTTTGAGTATTGTATTCAGTCTTCTTAGGCTCTTTATCTTAGGAAGAACATTGAATTGTTGGAAAGGGTTCTTGAGGAGGGCTACTAGAATGGTACCAGATATCGAGGAGCTACCATATGAGGATAGGTTAAGGTCTCAGAAATTGTTTTTTCTTGAAACAAGAAGAGCTAGAAGGGATCTTATTGAGGTGTTTAAGATTGTAGAGGGGATTGATAATGCTGATGCATAATCTTTTTTCACACTGAGCGGTGAGAATATTGGGACTAGGGGACACAAATATAAATTTTGGCAAGGTAGGAGTCATCTTCAGCTAAAACAGTTTTATTTTTCTAACAGGGTGGTTAGCCTCTGGAATGGATTGCCTTTGGATGTTGTAGAGGCAATAAATGTAAGTGAGTTTAAGAGAAAGTTTGATAACTATATACGAATGATAAGGGCTGGATTTAAGAATTTTTTTTTTTCAATCTATAATAGTTTAGTTTAGAGGATGGGACAGCTGAGATGAACCAACAGGTACCTTGTTATCCCTAAACATTATGTTATGTTATACGTATCTGCAATAAAGCAGGTTTGAGAAATGTTATGCCTATTTCTGTTTGTTTGAACTAAAACTGGCTACTGGAATACAAGAACTGAAGAAAAATAATAAACAGAATATTAAGATACCAACATAAGGATCCTCTAGCAATGATGCATGGCTACTAAGTTCATGACTGATTATGTTAAGTAGTTAGTGATGTTACATGTAATCTCACTGCCTGGCAAGACCATAAATACCAAAAGAGTTGAAGTTAGACTGAGGAGAGAGATAGAGAGAGAGATGTGTTAGGTTAGAAACTTGTAAAACTGTAATACACAAGATATTTGATTCCTTAAATGATACCATTGCAAATACACACTTGATCTTTTATTTGTGATTTAATGTTAATTCTTTGAAAAGCATCTAATACTGTTATTGTGACTAACCTTATGAATTATGTTTTTCTTTTTCTGGTTATTTTTTTTCCTTATTCATTATTATTAGTGTTATTTTTAGATTAACTACTTTCCTTTCTTGGAATATTTGTATTTTTTTGACTTGGAGATTTAGCAATATTTACAAAGACCTGGCCAGACAATCTTTCATTATTGATATATATATATATATATATATATATTATGTAAAGTTTGTATTGCGTTTAGTAAATCTTTAATATTTTATATACTCTGGTAATATCGTGGTTGATTTGAGTTTCCAAGAATAACAATGAAAATAGGTAACTATTGTAGTTTCAGAAAAAAACAATATACATCTATTCCACCTTTCTGTTAAAACAGTATATCATATACTGTCCAATAATTTTAAAATCTTACTGTTAAAGGAATATTAAACAAAAGGTTCCAAGATGTGTTCAATCAGCAGATTGTAGGCTGGTGCAGCATACTTATATAATTCTTAATGGTTACCTTTCTACAGTGTGGTTTACCAGAATATATAGATATTCAAGTTGATATTTTTAAGGGCTTCAGTTGTTTAAATTGTGCACTTTGATCCAGTACTTTCACAGTTTCCTATATATTTGTCAACTGTCTTTAAGTCAAAACTAAAGACATTGCTGAAATAATAAAATTAAAAGTTCCTCACTTATAATAGAAAATGATCAGTTTCACAAGCTTCAACAATAAACATATATATATATATATACATATATTTGTATCCTGAAGATTTTACAAATGTGTTATTAAAAACAAAACTCACCTTTAGGTATTCAGATCTGATTCAATTTATTCAAAGTTGATCCTTTTAGAGTTTACATGACATTTGAAGAATCTATAAAAGCAAAATTTAAAAAATAATTCACTTTCTCTATATCCTCAGTTTTCAACTGTATGTAACTTAGTTTTGTTTACTATATAAACAAAACATTATAATTATTAAAAAAAACAGTCAGAATTAATCAGCAGCTAAATAATTGCATACTTATAGTATGCATGCAATATTTTTTAACTTTGAATACAGATTTATAATTTTAGGATAAATTTTACAGTGAAATTGAAATACACATTTTTTTCATTTACAAATAAATACATATGGAAACTTGCTATGCACTAGCTGACCTTATTTGATGATAATTAAAGAAATCTCATACCACTTTAATAACATATAACAGTTTTTGATTTATATAAACTGTATATGTTATATACACAGTAACAACTTTATGGCTCTGGATGAAAAACTATACAGGAAAATAATTAAATTTATATCTAAATAAAATTAGGGAATATTCCTACAAAACAAAATGATGAAAATTTAAAGTTACAGGTGATAAATCTTATGGATTTTTACATCTTAAAATAGCATGTTGTTGTTTTTTATTCAAGTAAATTAAATAACCGTATTTGTTGCAACATTCATCCTGTTTCAAGTTATCATGTTTTTATTAATAAAGTCTTTATAATTGGGCTTGACTGAAAATGGGTGGAGTAACATGAAGCAATGCTATTGATTTTTCCATTCAGGATTACATTTGCAGTGGAACAGGTATATGTATTTAAGTTATGCAAATTAAGGAAAGTTTCAAAATATTAAGTTCACAAAATTACACTGAGATTGAAAATACTGTGCTTTTCTATTGTGTTTGTTACTTTTTCAAAGTATGGTTCAACAGGTCTATCAATTTTAGTTATTAACTAAAATTAAAACTAGCACATAATAGAAATAACTAACTACTACAAATAACAGCCTCAAATGTAGGATTTTACAGTAGAAGCCAATAAACATTTATCAGTATCATAGTATATGCTAGGTTCATGAATTCTGTGTTTTAAATTACACAAACCTATGGTAAATAAATACTATAAAAAACTGTACAGATCCAAAACTACAAATTAATTTTTACTTACTAGTCAAGCTGTAAGTTCACTACAAAGCTAATGTAATTGAGGCATGGCTTCAGTCTTGATAAAAATTCTCTCTCTGTATACCTTAATAGGTCAAACACATAATGCTATTTTCATACAAAAGTTAGCTTATTAATAGAATGACAACACAACCCAAATAGCAGTTAACTTACTTTGAAAAGTGATGTTATCTGTTTTAGTTACACAGGTAAGTTACAGATTTCAGCCTTTAGATTGTGCAGATGAGAAACTATGGGAGGGAAGGATAACAAATGGGACAAATAGGGATGGAAATGAAAATCATGAGGAGGTTATTGTTATAGGTGATTTTGTAGTATGGTATGTGGATAGGACAGTCTGTGGGGTAAATAGAGAAAATAATTAGATTATGCAATCCAGAGGCAGGGGTAGAGAATGTAACCAACAAAGCAACAGAGTAAGTGATAAAGTAAATTGTGCTAGCAGTGATGCAGCCTTTGTAATGCACATAGGGGCTTATGATACAGGGAAAGGTAGGTCAGAGGAGCTAATTGCTAAATACAAAGTATTGATAAAGATATTTCAAAAAATGTCATATATATATATACATATATGTATATATCTATATATATGTAACTTCATTTTCTCAAGGATACTAACAAGACTTACTTGTGAGGATGAAATTATAAGTAGGTGACTAGGGCTGAATGCTAGACTTAGGTTGGATGGGTTTGTGGGATCAGTTTAACATGAAAAGGGAGATTTTTGGAATGGATGATTACATATAAATAGGATAAGAGTTGGCTTAACTGCAACATCTATTGACTCAACTGTAAGCTAAGGCAGTTTTAACTAGGTCTAGATAGTGGTGAGGACCTGAATAATGAAGTAAAAATAAAATGTAGAGAAAATACAGTGTAGGTACAAATTGAAGAAGTAGTTTTAATGATAGGTTAAACTGTTGCTATTGCAATACTAGAAGTATAAGAAAGAAAATGAATGATTTTAGAGTACTGGTTGGGACAGAATATTTTTTATGTAGTGGGAATAATTGAAACCTGGTTAAATGTAGACAGTTTTGATGACAAGATTGTTTTTTTTAATTCAGGGTTATAGGTTGTTTTATAAGGGTAGAGTATGAAAAGGTGGGGAGGAGTGGCTTTATATGTAAAATGCAAGTTATGTCCTGTTCAAGTTGAGGACATCAAAGATAATAGCATTGAGGTTCAATCTGTTTGGATTTCTGTTGGTTGTTATAAGGGAAGAAGGTGTTTAGTTGAAACTTGTTACAGAAACTGATGAATTTAATAAGAAACTACAGTGAGATAAAAAATTCAGCTATTAATAAGGTTATAATTATGGAAGATTTTAGTTTTAGAGTAAACGTGATGGAAACAGGTTTTAGAAACTGTTGAGGTTGGTTTTCTTCACCAATTGGTTAGAGAATCTATTAAGAACAATGCTATTTCAGATTTATTGTTAGTTTTAATAGCTATTTGGGGAACATCTGGATGCAACTGATCATTACTCAATTAGATTTGATGTTTTGCTGTATATGGAGATAAGGATTAATGATTTTGGTTTGAAATTTCAAAAAACAATTTTGAAGGGATGAAACAAGAATTATCTGCTGTGAATCGGGCAATACTGATCAAATATGTAAAAAGATTAAAATAAATTCATAAATATTCAAGATAGGCATGCTCCTTATAAAAAACAAATAGATGGCTGCAAGTAAAAAAACAAGGTTAGCTTAAAAAAGGTATAAATGATAAAATTAAAGTACTATAAATACAACAGGTTTAAATTGACTGCAATGGTGTAAGATTTGGAGCATTATTCAAGACATAAAAGCT